ATTTAGGGTAACTAAAATGGCTTTATTGTCTTATTCTCCTCCCGTAGGAAACCTCTTTGAAGCCCATAATGCGAGCCGTATACACTGAAATGGGGACAGTTCAAATCATTTATTTCTTCACGTGATTACATAAGTTCTGTTCATAAAGTGTAAGACATTTTATGTTGATTTCGTCATCAAATAAGTGGCAATCAGTAGAATTTTCTTATATTTTTAGAGAGGAATGTTTAGAGTATGAGTTTAGATGTTGATTCACAGCCACTTGATTAGCTTACTTTCATAATTTTGAAAAAAATAAAAGTAAGCTTATGAGAGCACCTGGTTGTCGTTGTGTCTGTTTCTGTATTCACCCCCCACCACGAACTTCTGAAATCCTAAACCAATATTTATGAAACTTGATATGCACACCATGGCACCTGAGCACATCTCAACAGCGTACTTGGGCCAAATCGATAGAACTAGTCCCAATCTCAAACTGAGTAGGTTTTACCCGAAGACAGAGACAGAATCCATTCTCCGAAACATTATGTTTTCAGAAATAAACAGGACGGTTTTTAGATAAAGACAAGACGACGGATAATGTCCCAAAACATAATATTTGTACAAAATATATGGTCCAGATTTTTCACTTAGAAGTGGTTCAGCTCAGAACTATAACTTATATTACCAGATAAACGCGTTCACAACTCTTACTAAATTACTTGCACGAAATGCGAAGCCACCAAAAGCCACAGATAGCAGTACACTTACAAATCCAGAAAATCTGCTCGTCAGATCTGACAGGGGGTGTAACAAAAATTCTCTTCGTTACATTCCTAATGTGGCTTTCATTATTTTATTCTTCTTTACTGTAGAATAGCAGTACTGTGGTATCAGAGATATATATATTTTTATTATTATTATTATTATTATTATTTACTGCAATTGGGTGTTCACCCGGTGGCAGTAGAACTTGCACTGATACAGACAAGTAGATTCTATAACTTAAGGGAACAGTACAAAACAAAATACAATACAGAAAACAAGGTACACACAGTGCAAATCCAAACATTGCACTCGAACAAGGACATGCATTATGAAGTTAGAGTAGAATACGCAGGTCGTGTTTTGTCCATCTGACCTCTTTCTCATTTCCAAAAGTACGAACGAATTTCGATTAAACTTTGAAATAGGCCGCGTCATAGTTGGTTCCACCACCACGGATGCTCGGGTTCGAGCCAGGTTCTGGTCATGTGGGGTTTGTGGTGGACAAATTGGCGCTGGGCCAGGTTTCCTCCGAGTACCAATTGCTCCACAATCACCTTCATCTATCATCTTTGGCTGGTTAAATAGGCCATAAGTGGCCTCAGTACCAAGTGGACTTAGTCCCACCCAACTAAAGGGGAAAACAATTTAAATATAATAAAGGTGTGAGCCGAAATTAATTTCACTTTGAGACGTTGCAACGTAACTGCCCCTGTACCTGAAGATACAACACGACTTTGCAACTTCTCGGAAATATCTGACCTTATAAAATGTTACTTAAATTCTGAGGTTTTATTTTCTCACCGCGGTTACTCTGAGAAATACCGTCATGTGGAATGTTACGTCGTGTCGTCTGATATAGGTTTACCGGCGTTTCGGATGATACTTCTGCTTCCATTTTTAGGGTTGAAATATTAGCCAAACAAGAAACCAGAGCAGCTCTAACATAATAATTTTCATCTCATTAATCCTTACATGTCTCACTTGAATTACTTTTATAAATAGTGAGTGTTTAATAAAATGTGTAATCAAAAGCCCGGATGTATGCTTTATGGCATCTGTATTAGTATTTGTAGCAATATATCGTCAAGCGAGACATTAAAATCGAGGCAAATAATGTACTCAATATCTAAAAAAAGTTGGAGAGCAGACTATGTACCCCAATGGAGTACACCGCCTTCTTCAATTACTCTGACTTCACAATGAAAGTAATTTAAACCAAGAATAATTTTTTCTTTTGAGTTCCACATCGTAACCACTTACGCATAAGGACCATAATATTTGGGACACCTCATCGAGAGAAACCGTGACAGAATGCCTGTGAAGGAGCATTTAGATTGCTAGAAATGGATCTTAATGTTGCCAGCGCACCCAGACACCTTTCTCCTCGGGCGACAGTACGTGACAGATGGCTGTGATCCCAAGCTGTCGGTAGATCTGCTGACAGTAGTGATATCAGCTCGCCTCTGCAACCTCTCCCCTCTCCCTATCAACGCGAAGAACATGCACATACATGCAGATATAAAGCCGATTTTCAATCAATCGTCCGCACATGAATACACTTGCAGATACGGCCACCCACTGCTCGAAATATAGGCCTAACATTTGGCAACCCCAACACTCATTTATCACGTTTCCAAAATGGGAAAAGAGGAGAAATAATTCCTATCTCCTCTGTACATATTTATAAAATTTCAATGTGAACATGCAATATGTCCGTTTTCTTTAAACATCATTCGTGTTGCTTCGCGGGGGCATTACTCTTTCGTTGTTTGCTAAAATTTAACATGGAAGTCACAATAAGGATAAGCTGCAAACACATAATAAACCATCGGATTTTCATTAACATCAGGAACACACAATGAAGGTCCATTAAAAAAACACTTGTACAAACTGTTCCGAGATGCATCACAAACATACCTTCAGTAAAAGCCTTGTCACGTAAATGCGCTGGGTTTTTAGATCACGGCCACGGGGTTTCACGTGAGGAGTATGGTAAGAAGTGGAGGGAGAGTGGTTCGGCTGTACTGTGGGAGGCAACTTACAGTTACACGTCTCTGCTCTAACCCATACACACACTACAATCATTATGCACGTTGGTGGACTCGGCTAAATCCGCTGTGTGTTTTGTTGAAAGGGCTTAGACTAAAATCGCGGATAGTAGTGAAAGGCAAAAGTAACATGTCAAGTGGGGCCCTTGTAACCACAGTATGGTGTGTCCTCAGGTTGCGGATGGAGGAGACGGCCTTCAGACACGAAGCGTAACTTCAAATATAGTAAATAAGCAGTCGCGGACAGCCAACAAGGGATAGTCCCCATGCTTTGGGGTTGTGTGTGTGACTAACAACGCCTTAACATAAAAACATGTGTTACAATATGTTACACAGGCCTCGGACTTTGCCGAATTCTTTGGAATCTGGCTCAGAATTGGAACAAGTGGAGATTGCTTGTAAACACTGTAATGAAGTTTCAGATTCAATAAAGTGTTGGGAAATATTTGAGTAGCTGAGCTACAGGAGACTTCTCAATAAGGACTCAGTTCCATATACGAGTACTTAGTTACAGCCCACTGTGAGCCTTGGTAGTGTTATAGAGTCTTATCGCCAAGTCCGGTCGGCACTTTGTCCCGGGGAAAGAATCCAAGGTACTCATTGGGTTGGAGGATTGGTGAGTACAGAGCCGACATAGGTTCAATGGGGTCCAGATGAATGTCTTCCTCTTCAGGAAATCGAAGCCTAATTCCCCAGTAAACCAGTCTTAATGTATGCTGACTGAAATGCCGGGCGCATGCGTTATTTTGAGTACATGCAATATTTTCTGGGGGAGGCTTTCACCAGTCGGAGCCTCTCATACATCCGCCGGTCTCCTTTCATCGTCTGACGTAAAAATTGCCTATAGTGAGATTGACTAATGCTGGTTAATTTTCATGAAACATGCCATGAATCCCAATCCACTCTCTTACATTTTGTTCCTTGTTATTAAGAATTTAACTTAAGAATGCTTTTGTGTTCAGAGGTTTTCAGAACGCACATTGTCCAAATTATTGACGCTATCTGGCAAAACTTACCGACTTTTCTCCGAAAGTTCGACAGTTCTTTGCCTAGAAGACAGCACTATTCCTGATCACCACAGTGAGAACCTCAAATCTCGAATCCTTATGTTGCGTAGGTCATTGTTCTTGATCCTGGAACATTCCGGAAGCAATTCTGCCGTTGCTGAAAGATATTTATTGTTGAGTATCTAACAGCATGACTAAAATTTTCTGCTTATTTTCATAAATTGTTTTTTCTTGTATTTACTTAAACTAGAGTCGCAAGTGTTCGGCTTCTTAAATCAGTTTGAGGTAGAAACGAAATCTAAAATTTAATGTTAATGTGAAGGTTTATTAGTGAGTGCCCTTCACCAGCGTATTTCGTACCCTGTAAATAAATATATTAAACTCTAAAAATATTTTCTAGGTGTTCAAAAATGTAAACACTTCTTTCTGAATTGCATACTGCGCAGCAGAATACAGGATAGAATATTAAGCTTAAATTATTTCCTCTTAATTTCGCATGTTTTTCTACCCCATTTTCCTTATTAAGAAAATAATAAAAATAGACTTATGAGATCACCATGCTGTCTTTGAGCTTTTGTATCCCCCCTGTTATCTGCCGAATGCGCGAACAAACCTTTATGAAATTGATACATATCACGGCACCTGAGCACATCTCAACTTTATAATTCATATATCCTTCCCGTTAGTCAGTGTGTCTGTATGTGTATCCCGTTACCGTTGCAAGGCAACGGCCCGATACAAATGCTACCGCGACAACGAATTCACACGTAATAATAGAATTGTTGGACGGTTTGTTTTCAATGCGGTCCGTGTCGTATGAAAGAAAGAAGGCTATTAATTCTTAAAATGAAACCATTTTTAATGGAGTATAAGAACCTATGGACCTTAAATATGTTTCGTTGTCACATTTGCAGTGTAACTAACATTTTAGGATTTCCAACTCGACTTCCTGCGTAATTGTTTTGTTTTAATGTATAATTTATCTCCATGTTTGTACAAAGTATGTTTTATTGTAGGATGTTAAAGAATGAAATATGGTGTGTTGAAGTATTCTCTAAAATTTAAATCTATTACGTGAATATCAGAACTAACCAAACACTTTTTCATATCAAGCAGACGGACGTTCATGTATGATATAAGTGTTTACGAACAAGTGCTGGTGTGTCACGTGACTGACTTTCAATTTTCTCCTCTTCAGGAGCTCGAGGCTTGCGGCTGGTGAGCCTGAAAGTTCCTGCAACGGCCGATATCTTTCAGCCGGTGACTCTGATCTGTGAGTACGAGCTGGAGAGCAGGAACTTGTACTCTGTCAAGTGGTACAAGGACGAATGCGAGTTCTTCAGGTACATGCCCGACTATGACCCACAGAGTCAGGCATTCCCCACGCCTGGCATCACACTCGACGTAAGTTCAAATGTCTGCCTAGCTCATCAGCAATAATTAGTTATTCAGATAATTTTACCTTGTTCTGTAGAGCCAGGCTTTCCATACATCTGCCGCCTCTTGACGCCGTGCCAACAGGTAAGGTAAAAAAGGTAAAGCTATCCCTGTAACAGGAGGTGAATGCCCATAGGGTTGTCAGACGTCGAGGGTCCCAAATTTTCTAGACAGTCGGCTCACAGATGGCGGTAAGTTTGTCAGTCTTATGCACAGGCCACTCTTTACCCCCCCCCCACCCCAAGGAAGATTCCTGGTACTCACTTCTGTTAGGAGCTGAGTCGACACCAGGGTCATACTGCGGCTGGAAGGATTAGGTCAACTGAAAAATTGCACCTCATGTGGACTCGAACCCGCGACATTCCGGCTTGTAGCATAGTGCCTCAACCAACTACGCTACCACCTTCTCCCCCGGCGTGCCAGCATATTGCAAATCTTATTCTAATAATGAATAGTAGTTGTACCTAAGTACGTTGTTAATGTGTCCCATGATGATTGTGACAAATAAGATGTAAGATACAGCCTATGTATGTCGATGATCAGTATACGGCTTTAATTAGCCGGGATAATGCAGCCGGTATAAGCGACGGGCTGTACGGCCGGGGTTCGAACCCGAGCAGGGACAAGGGATTCTTTTCTACACCACAGAGTCCTCAATGGCTCTGTGGTCCACTCAGCCTCCTATCCAATGGGTATCGGGGTTCTTTCCCAAAGGGTAAGGCGACCGGGGCGCGAAGCTAACCACTCGCATTCATCTAGTTTCGAGGTTAATAATGCTGGAGCTATACCTCCAATACCCGTTCGTCTTCATCTTGTGGTGCTTAATTAATTAAGCACAGGGACAACCTTACCTTTGTATGGAATTGAATGTTTTCTTTTTTTCCTTGGCACTACAACCCCAGTGGGCCTAGGCCTACCTCCATGAACTCCCCAGTTCACTTCGGTTTTTCTTGATCTTACACATTCGGTAGGACTCCTTGGGCGGGTGATCAGCTCGTCGCAAGGCCTCTACCTGTAGACAAACACAGAAAAACGCACACACACAAACTAAATATCCATGCCCTGAGTGGGATTCGAACCCACGATCCCGGTTTCCGAGCGAGCGAAGACAGTACATGCCTTAGACCGCTCGGCTACCGCGACCGGCGGAA